CACACACACACACACACACACACACACACACACACACACACACACACTGAGAGAGATTTTAAGGGAACTAGCAGTAAAGAGTACATCCGTAGGCTGTGCTCTGAACTGTTTGTTGCCTTGTATTGCTTGGCAGGTTTTAAGTTACCGGTGTAACTGTTCGGTCAGATGGTGATGTGTAGGGTACCCCTTTCTCTGATGCTTGAGATATAAGTCAGCAAGGGTTTTGTTTTCCATTGCAGTTTCCAAGCCCTAAAAATGGCTTTCCATTTTTCAGTGATTTTATAGGTCAGTCCTGCCTCTGGGATCCAACTTTATGCTGTGGCTAAGAAATGTTTCGCATCACTCAGACTGAATCTCAAGACAGATGTATTTACATTGTAAATAAATATTTCAGTAGATTTGAAGGTATGTTCAATTCTGATGCCGAATTTGTATATATGTTCCTTGATTGATGGATGAAAGGAGGGTTAAGTCATTAGTCAGAGTTAAGTTCAGAAACATTTTTATCATTATTAAATGAGATGACTGCATATTTTGTCCTCTCAAAAATCGTATATTTAATTCTTTGGATTCTTGCATAAAACATACAGAGGAGATTGTAGATAATTTGTTATATATATTGACGTGTCTGGGCTTCAGAAGGTTAGAATTTGTGGTATCCCTGGCAGAGAATACCTGGAGAGTATTTCTAGGGGAGAATACTGTCTGTTCCTGTGCCCCTTGTCGCTGACTGCAGAGGATCAGACATGTATTCGTGCAATGGCTCTGTCCCTACTACATCCACATTTCCCAGAATGCTCATCTTCAAGCTGTCACCTGAAATTCATCACAGATCCCTTGGCTTTATGTTAGAATTGTCACGTGATTACAGAATGAAAATCGTTCAGAAAAATACAAGTACCCAGCAACATTTCCTGAGGATTCACTTCACACAGAGAGTGGTCCAATCCTCAAAGCAGCCTTGAGAGGACTCTGGTCCCTGTTTTACAGATGAGAAACCAGGCTTAGAGTCACGTGGTTAGTATGTAGCATAGCTGAGACTTTTCCTAACTGTCAGTGCTTTTAGTTGTACTGTCTCCCGGATCTCCCAGTTCTCAGCGGAACTCTAGTGTGGTGTTTCCTTTGTGGGATACAGTGAGATACAGCACTTGACCATGGGGAAAACAAAAATTAGGGTATATGCTATTTTGGATGCTTCCTCTTAGAGGCTTCCAGCCACTTTTCCCATACACAAACACAGTAACATGCAATTCTTTTTTTTTTTTTTTTAATTTTCATGCAATTCGCACAACTTTGGTCATATCACTTAACACCGTACTCAGCCATTAATCATGATTTTGAGCACGGGTTTGCACAAATAGCACAGAGCAGCACACATCAGCGTGTGAGAATGGGAGATTCCTGTTAAATTACGTTAGTTGGGTTATTTTCCTTCCCTAATATTATTCTGTACTATTAGGGTACAAATAATTGTGGGAAAGTAGAAAGAAACAGACAACTTTTCTTGTATTTACAGAATGAAGAGGAATAACTTTTCTGCTGTGAATAAAGTTGTCCAGTCGTCACCAGTCGTGAAGCAGCCCAAACGTGTACTCCGCACATCCCTCAACCAGACTCGCACGCTGTCTGTTCTTCTGGACTGGGGGACTTTGCCACACCACGTGATTTTACAGATTTTCCAGTACCTTCCTTTAATAGATCGAGCCCGAGCGTCTTCTGTGTGCAGGAGCTGGAATGAAGTGTTCCACATCCCTGATCTCTGGAGAAAGTTTGAGTTTGAGCTGAACCAGTCAGCAACTTCTTATTTTAAGTCCACGCATCCTGATCTCATTCAGCAGATCATCAAAAAGCACGCTGCACATCTGCAGTATGTCAGCTTTAAGGTACAAGCCCGTGCACGTTAAGGTTAAGGTCCTTGTGTGTGTCTGGAGCCTTGCTTCTAGGCACCTGGTAAATATCCAGGGTTTTCGTCCCACGCTATTTTCTGATTTTTCTCTAGTTACTGTATAGACTGAAGTAGAGAGCCTGAGCTTTAACTGAATGACATAAAACTCAGTTTTCTCATTTGGCTGGTAATATCCAAGCAATTATAAAGAGCTGAAAGCATGAAACATACTTTGTCATAGCTCGGTTTCTCCCTCTGTGAGCTCAGACATTCCATATAAAAATAATCATTTATATTGATGAAAGGGATTAACAAAACTTGGTTATTGAATTACATTAAATAATTGCACTTCCCATAATTCCAATAGAATGCCCTCAGGAAATTCAGATCAAAAATTATCTTTATAGGTTGATAGTAGTACTGAGTCGGCAGAAGCTGCCTGTGATATTCTTTCTCAGCTGGTAAATTGTTCTATCCAGACCTTGGGATTGATTTCAACAGCCAAACCAAGTTTTATGAACGTGCCAAAGGTAAGAGTACTGCGCTTCTTGTGAGATTCGCTGAACTTTTTTAAATGATCTTTGTGTTTGTGCAGGTATGTGTATGTGTGCATGCATGTTACTGTCAGAGGACATTCATAGATGTGAGCCCCAGAAACATCATTCACCTCCTTTAAGACTAGGTCTCTCTTGCCTTGAAGGTTACCTATTAGGCTAGACCGGCTAACCAGCTAGCCCCAGGGGTGTGCCTGTCAGCTAAAACTCGTTGCTGGGTACTCAAAGAAGAAAGATGGAGTTGCTGAGAAGTGCAGTGTGTGTGTGTGTGCGTGTGTGTGTGTGTGCGTGCGTGCGTGCGTGCGTGTGTGTGTGTGTGTGTGTGTGTGTGTGTGTTGCAGAAGCCACTGTCTTACTTGGGCCTCACCTGTATGTCATCAGCACCTCAGAGACGTCACAGACTGCTCACTCTGCTCCTACTGGCTTAGTTTCTCGTCCTGTTGCTGTGAGAAAATAACCTGTCCAAAGCCATGTAAGGGAGAAGGGCCTGGTAGCTCAAGGGCCTATCAAGCTGGGGAGGTAGGTCAAGGCAGCAGGAGTTTGAAGCATCCGGTCACACCCATGTTCAGGCAGCAGACAGCGCTGAGTGTACACTGCTCTTCAGGTCCCATGTCCCAGTCACACAGTCCAGGACAGTTGGTGAGTCTTGTGTCCTCAGTGATAGTCTGGGTAATCCTGGGACAGCAAGATGGCTCAGGGGGTAAAGGGGTTCCCACCAAGTCCAAGAACCTGAGTGTGATCCCCACAACCCTTTGGAGGTCAGGAGAGAACAAAGTCCTGCAATGTGTCCTTTGATTTTCACCTGTGGGCGATATCACACGCGCAGGTGTGTGAACACACACAAATAAGTAAATGGAGAAGTAAGTAAGATAAGCCCCGGAGGCTCAAGGCGGCTGCAGACTCTGCCAGGTTGACCTCGAGCACTGACCACCTACAGAATTCTATCTACTGTCCTTCTTTAGTTAGTACTCAGCATCATCTTAACGATCAGGTTAGCCTGCCTGTTGTCTCTTCACACTCAGACTAACTCTTTGGAGGATGAGAGTCTGTCCTTTTTTTTTTTTTTTTTTTGCCACCATAAATCAGGTTAAAAAGGTGTTTGGTTTTTAGCAAGCACTTCATTATGTTGATTGGAATCACCTCAAGGAAACTCCCAAAGCAGAGGACATGGTAACTGCACTCCTATAACTGGGTCATGGCTCTCCTAGCCAGGATCTCTACTAGCCTGTTATCTTTTTAAGAGATATCCTGGGGAAAAAAAAACAGGTCATTAGGGGATTTAGAATAATATAAATAATCAGATGAAAACTTACTAGTGCTAACTAGTTACTTGTTTGTTTATAAACCGCGGGGCAGGTTGGCCTGCTGCTGTTTAGGTTCTAAAAGCTAGGGCTAGCATTGCCCATCAGTCCAGGGTCTGCTCAGTCCAGGGTCTGGGTTCCCTGGCACAGCTTCCCCGCAGAGATGCCAGGCAGCAGCCTGCTCTGTCTCAGTGAGCTCCTCGGCCTCAGAACAGCTTGAAACGCTCTCCAAGGTCCATTCTTGTTCCTTCCGTTTATAAACTAGTGGAAAAGCTAGATAAAATTACAGTATTTTGCTAAACATAAAGAGTATAGCAGATATGATTATAATAAAACATGCGCTATGCTGCTTCAATGTCCTTTAAGACTAAAACAGCTAATTTAGACCTTAATAAAGAGAAAAAAAGTCAACTTTCTACTTCTTGAAAAGGAGATAAAGCTGTGTAATAATTTAGTAGCACTTCAGCTCTCTACTATGTGAAAATGACTTTTTGTTTTATTTATTTTTTTATTTATTTATTTTTGAGACAGGTTTTCTCTGTGTAATAGAGCTCTGGTTGTCCTGGAGCACTTTGTAGACCAGGCTGGCCTCGAACTCACAGAGATCCGCCTGCCTCTGCCTCCAATAGTGCTGGGATCACAGGTGTGCGCCACCGTGCCCGGATATAAAAACGAGTTTTAATTAGTGTAAGCCAACATGTTTACACACTATAGCCAATGTGGTTATCCTAACAGGGGGCCAGTGTAACCTTTCATATAGCCAAGACTGATTTTGTGGAAGGAAAAGAGATTTTGCCTTGGATTTGGTTTCTACCCTTCCTGACTTGGCCAGAAGTGATGAATCTGAAAATGTGTGGAATTCTGCCTTTATTGAGGGCAAATTATTGATGCACTTTATTTTGTAATCCTTCAAAACATGTAACTACTTGTATGTACTTTAATTAAGTCTGCTAGAAAAAAGAACATAAGGTTGTAACCCTTTATTTGTTCCTTTAACACGTATTTGTTGACTGCCATGTGCAGAGACTATCTTCGCTCTGGAAACGTGGCAGTGACTGAAACGGGAAAAATGCGTTTCTCCTGGCAAGGGGTCAGAAAAGCGTTGAGAGCTCTGCAGCACTGCCCCTTGTGCTCAGCTGCGCTGCTGCAGTGGGAAGGCCAATGCAGACGATGCGAAAAGGAAGGCGCATGGTTCCCTGCCATGCAGACTGTGTCTGTGAGCATTAAAGTCTGTCGTCAGCTCCCAGGCCATGCAGTGTTACGCTTCAGATTATTTTCAGCCCTTTCAAAATGCGAAAACTTACTCTTGACTCAATGAAACATGGAGAAACAGACTCTTCACTGGGTTTGCCTGGTGGTCCATGATTAGCTAATCCCCATTCTAGAAAAATCAGTAACTTGGACATCAAGTTCTTAAAGTTGAAAATAGCTAAGACATCCTTTACAAGGTCTATGGGATTTATTCCTTTGTCATCACTCCATCTCCACTATGTTGTGAAAGTTTTTGTTGTAGGAATGAATGTGACATGCACATTAAGAAACTCTACATTGTGAACAAACTAGTTTTTCCCAGGGATCCAAAGTTGGTTTTGCATATTCATATCACTCAGTGTAATGTAACACATAAATAGGTTTAGGAATGGAAATCACACGACCATCTCCCTAGACACACAAGAGGGAGCGCCACACCCCTAACATCACTCTAAAATTAGGTAAGTATGTCCACCTCAACATATTTAATCTCATATTCAATATAATGCATGAAATCTTAACGGGGGCAGTGAAATAAGAAAATCAAATTAAAAGGATACAGATAGGAAAGGAAGAAGACAAATACTGACAAGATCCCAAAGAGTCCAGCAGAAAACTCTTAAACTCTAGCAAATTAAGAAGATATAAAATTACCACAGGAAAGGTGCAGTCTTTCTATATATTAATATTGAAACTGCTAATAAAAAATCAATACCAAATCCCATTTATAATACCCCCAAAAGCCCCCCTCAAAAAAACTCAGAATTAAATTATCTAGGGAGCAAGGTGATGAAAGACCTCTGCAATGCAAAACCTTAAGACAGTGAAGAAAGAAATTTAAGAAGCTACTAAAAGATGGAAAAACTATATGACATTTATAGTGTAAAAAATGTCTTCATTAGCCAAAGTGATTTACAGATTCAACTCGGTCTCAAAATCACATTGACATTCTTCACAGAAATACAGAAAACAATTCTGTGGTTTACACAGAGGCACAAGCAAACCCTCACTGAGAAAGCAAATTATAGTCAGAAAGAGTGATGTACAAATGACAAAAGCCAGTCTCAAGTTATATGGCAGAGCCAAAAGAATAGAAACTGCTCAGAACTGTCAGAAAACAGACAAACCAGTGTTATAGCATATAAGTTCTATCGCTGAGCCCAAACAGCTGCAGCCACCTGATTTTCTGCAAAAGTTAAAAACGTACATTGGGAAAATTACAGCATCTTTATCAAATGTTGTTTGGAAAACTGGATATCCATCTGTAGAAGAATGAAACTAGATTCATGTCTCTTATTCTGTACAAAAATCATTGGAATAAAATGTAAGACCTAAAACCTGGCTCAATAATCTACAGTCATTTAATCCCCTGCAAAAGGCAGGAACATATATCAAAAGAACTATTATATGATCCAGTTTTGCTACTGGTGAATTACCTGACGTAATAGTCTAAGTCAGCTACACAGGCAGGCATAGCCATGTTTATTGACTTACTGTTCACAATAGCTAAGAAGTAGAGTTGTTGTCCACCAACAGGCAGATGAATGAAGCAAATACACAATATATACACAGAATTCTGTGAAGGCATGCTGTTTGCAGGAAAATGTTAACTGAAGTAGACCAGACTCAGGAAAACAAATACTGTTTTCTCTCATATGCTGTTTCTCTGTCTGTCTCTCTGTTGTGGTGTGTGTGTGTGTGTGTGTGTGTGTGTGTGTGTGTGTGTGTGTGTTTGAGCTCATGAAAGAGAAGAAGGGGAGAGCGAAATGGATAGAATATACATGACAAGAAAGCGGGGGTGGTATTTGAAGGGACTAGGGAATCAGAGACAGATAAGTTGGGAGGGCAGGGAATGGCAGGAAGAAGGGGGTGAATGAGGACAAAGTATAAAGACATGCACATGAAAATGCCATCATGAAACTCCTTCTTTGTATACTAACTTGAAATTTTCCTTAAACAGAAAATAGAATTGTCTTCTACTGGCTAGTGATAGCATAAAAACATAATATATTTGTTGTTTTTACTGTTTTTAGCATTTAACAATTTGTTTTTTAAAGCTGCTCGATCTAAACCGTGAGTTCTCAATAATATTCTCGTAACCTTTTTTTCCTATTGCCGTGCAAGTCTCATTTTGTGTCAGCACTTACAGTTGTGTTTGTCAACTCAAAATCGTTATCATCAATTAAAATTGAGGACACACCAGTGGATGACCCTTCGCTGAAGATCCTTGTGGCCAACAACAGCGACACTCTGCGGCTCCTAAAAATGAGCAGCTGTCCTCACGTTTCATCTGATGGTAGGTTGTACTTTTATACGAATTGACTGGGTGGTTTTTACTATAGTAACAATAGGTTACTTACTGGAAAGTACAAGCCTTTGGAACATAGCTTATTCACTTTATTTAAAAGCAGGCTTAATCTTCAAATTAGATGTGAGTTGCTTCTTCAGAGAATTTTTTTTTTCCCTTGGACATGTGTTAATCTCTTCTAAATTAGTGGCCTGCATCTGACAATTTCATGCATTAAATCACGTATTACCTCCTTTTGTTCCTCCCCTGTCTGAGCCCTTCTTCTTCCCAGCTAGCTCCTCTTCTGATCAATTTCTTCTCCATTGTTTTGACCCGCTGAGTTTAATAGAATCACTTTCATGAGCGTAGGGTTGGATTCTTTATTAGAGCATGGGCAACTTAGGAGTGGCAACATCCCTGAAGAAAACCTCCTCCCCCCAGCAAGAGTCAGTAGAAAATAGCTCCTGGGGAGGGGTGGACCTAGTGAGCCCTTCCCCCACCCGTGATGATGTGTTGGTGGATGGCCCTAGCCGATGGGAAGCTCGGGAGTACAACAGAGTCGTCACATCCAGAAGGCAGCATCCCACAGCTTACTTTCCTGTCCTCTGTCTCTCGCGCTCTTTCCACCTGCCTCTTCTGCAGGCTTTCCTGAGTCTCAAGGGAGTTATAGAGATAACTGTGTTTAGAGTTGAACACTCAGAAATTGCTTACATTTTCATCTTTTTTTACCACCTAAAGTCTCTGCAGTAGCTGCTGTCCACTACAAAAATGGGGCTTCTCCAACCCAGGCTAAACAGCACTAGCCCATGAGCATAAGATAAGTATTTGGAGGTCGGTTTGATGGGCACAGCATGCCCGTTTCACAGAGGGACAGCGAACACTTCCATGCCAGATCCTTCCAACTATGGGCTTTTGAAAAGGTTTACACCACCAAGTGTGGATTCTTTTCTGTGGAGTGGGCCTCAACTTTGATTAGAAAGTGGCTGGTTATGCCCCTAACAGTCAGCAGGTTTTGTACCAGTGGGCACTTTTTGCCTAGTGGAAGAGCCCAGAAGATTTATAGCTGGGTAAGACTGTTGATCCTGTCCTCCTCCCCAGCCCCCGACATCACAGCACTTTGAAGTGTTTGGAAAGTTAGCCTGCAGGAAAGTTCAGCTCAGTTTCAGCCTGATTTGTGTCCATCCTGCAGCCAGAGCACGTGATCCGTCATGTAGCATCGTGGAGTGTCTTCACATTCTCTCTTGACTGTTTTGGGGTTTTCATTGATGATGTCTTTCACTTCCTTGGTTTGGGTTATTCCGAGCTGTGCCTGTGGGGTGGGGGCAGTTGTGAATGTAATGTTTTCCTGGTTTCTTCCTCAGCACGTTTGTTATCAGTGTATAGAAACGTAGGCGTTTTTATATGTTCCTTTTGTGTCCTGCCACTTTGTATCAGTGTTAATCAGCTCTGATGGTTTTCTAGTAGAGTCTTAGAAGCATGCCATCCTAAAGTACTTTAAGAACTTTATCTGATGCCTTACATTTATTGATTTGCACAAGTTGATCCTTGCAGCTGTAGAATAAAGCCAACTTGATCATGCTGAATGCACACACACACCCCAGCAGTGTATAAGTGTTGGAGGAAATTTTTAATTAGCCTGCACACGTATAACGATATATTTTAGCAGCCATTTTCTCAAGCATCCTGTAGTAAAGTAACTAGTGGAAAAATTAAATTGACAACATCTGTTGTGGTTATCAGTGTGATTTTTGGTGCTTAAGGATGTCTCCCCGCTTTGCACAGGCATCCTCTGTGTGGCGGACCACTGTCAGGGCCTCAGAGAGCTGGCGTTGAACTACTACATCCTGAGCGATGAACTTCTCCTGGCACTCTCCAGCGAGACGCACGTGAACCTTGAGCATCTCCGGATAGATGTTGTGAGTGAGAACCCTGGACACATCAAGTTTCACTCTATTAAAAAGCGCAGCTGGGATGCACTGATCAAACACTCCCCAGGAGTTAATGTTGTCATGTACTTCTTTTTATACGAAGAAGAGTTTGAGACATTCTTCAAGGAAGAAACCCCCGTAACTCACCTTTATTTTGGCCGCTCAGTCAGCAGAACCATTCTAGGCCGCATAGGCCTGAACTGCCCCCGGCTGATCGAGTTAGTGGTGTGTGCCAATGGCCTTCAGCCCCTCGACAGTGAACTGATCCGCATTGCTGAACGCTGTAAAAACCTAACTGCGCTGGGCCTGAGTGAGTGTGAAGTCAGCTGCAGTGCATTCGTTGAGTTTGTAAGACTCTGTGGCAGAAGGCTCACCCAGCTGTCTATCATGGAGGAGGTTCTGGTCCCTGATGACAATTACACCCCAGAGGAAGTCCACACTGAGGTCTCTAAGTACCTGGGAAGAGTGTGGTTCCCAGATGTGATGCCAATCTGGTAACCAGCGACCAAAGATTTCCAGTTTCCTGTTGGTGGGGTTAGCTGTTTGTCTATGCAAATGTAAATGTTGAGATGAGCTTCTGAGCTACTTTAGGTTAAATACATCTCTTTACCAGTTATCTTAATTGGTCGCTGCAGAATCATTTGAAAATAATATAACAATTTTGAATGGCCAGAGGTCTCTGACGCTGTGTGTTTGATGGTTTACAGGCTAGACTACAGATGTCTAAGACTTAAATAGACTAACTTCTCAACCTTCTCTGGAGACATATTTTAGCTAAGTAAATTTATATTAAACTTATAATTAATATATAATTATAATTTACAGTATTAGCTCTCTTTAAGTTATGTATTTTACAATCTCATATTACTTTCATTTCATCTGGTTCATTTTGGTACCAATACATGTTTTACAAAATACGTACTGTTAAAAATCCAGGTACCATGCTAGAGGTCTACTTCATCGTACCTACAAAAGGTTTAGCATCTTGTGATTCAGCAAGCAACTTTGATTTCTAGAGTACTTTTGATTCATTTTTAGATTAACTTAGAAGGCAATTGACATTATGTTAAAATTCAGTAAGACTACTTCATTTATGAAGATACAGCAAGCAGAAGATACTGTGATTATCAGTGAAGGACGAGGTACGAGGGAAGTGTTTGGGAGTCAGTGTTCGCTAGCCAGCTCATGTTGATCTGGGACTGTGCCATGTCCTTTGCACATGTGACCTCTCATTTGCTTAGTAACACTTGTAAAGTCCTTCACCAGTTTGTCCTTAGAATGACATCCAGTCTTCAGAGCTGCCTGGGAGCTCGGCTTGTTTCCAGCCCCTGTGCCTGCGCTTCACCCCCGCCCCCAACACACACACTTTCTCTGTTCCTCCTCCACCACCACAGGGTGTGTGTGCACCTCTCTGCTGGCTCTCTCTGTGCTCGCTCCCTCAGATATTTCTGCATCTCTCTTGCTAGGGGAGGTCACTGACAGCTTTCCAGCTCCTGGGTCAAACCCTTCTCTCTTCTTCTTCTTCTTTTTTTTTTTACTTTTTAATTCTTTTATATTAATTACACTTTATTCACTTTGTATCCCCCCAAAAGCCCCTTCCTCCTCCTCTCCCAATCCCACCCTCCCTCCCCCTTCCTCACGCATGCCCCTCCCCAAGTCCACTGATAGGGGAGGTCCTCCTCTTCTCTCCTTCTGATCTTAGTCTATCAGATCTCATCAGGAGTGGCTGCATTGTCATCTTCTGTGGCCTGGTAAGGCTGCTCCCCCCTCAGGGGGAGGTGATCAAAGAGCAGGCCAATCAGATTATGTGAGAGGCAGTCCCTCTTCCCATTACCTTGTAATCCACTTGGACACTAAACTGCCATGGGCTAAATCTGTGCAGGGGTTCTAGGTTATCTCCATGCATGGTACTTGGTTGGAGTATGAGTCTCTGGGAAGACCCCTGTGTTCAAATTTTTGGTTCTGTTGCTCTCCTTGTGGAGTTCCTGTCCTCTCCAGATCTTACTATTTCCCACTTCTTACATAAGATTCCATGCATTCGGCCCAAAAGTTGGCCATAAAGTCTCAGCATCTGCTTTGATAGTCTGCAGGGCAGAGCCTTTCAGAGACTCTCTGTGGCAGGTTTCTAGCTTGTTTCCTGTTTTCTTCTTCTTATGATGTCCTTCCTCTTTGCCTTTCGGGATGGGGATTGAGCCTTTTAGTCAGGGTCCTCTCTCTTGATTAGTTTCTTTAGGTGTACAGATGTTAGTAAACCTACTAACTATATTATGTGTCTATATGAGCGAGTCCCTTCCCTCTTCTTTGTAGCACCCGTTGCTGTGCGGTGTGTCTGCTTGTCTCAGGACGTCCTTTTTCCTTCATTGTGCTGCAGACTCTGCCAGGACAAGTCTGCTGTTATGTTCTTCTATGTACTTATTAGAGGTCAACTTTCAGCAAAAAGAAATGTTTATTATTTTCCAGTTTTGAGTATATTTTTCACTATTGAAATGCTGGTGTCCTCACCTATTGAGCAATTAGGATGCATTGTTTGTAGATAGTTTGGAGAGTAGACTGTCCCCACTCCTTTGTGCTCATGGTGAGCTCTGTGAGCAGGCGTCTCACGTGTGTGTGTGTGTGTGTGTGTATGTGTGTATGTGTCTGTGCCTCACTCAGAACTGTATGCAGCAATGGGAGTCCTGGGTAAAAATAACCATAAAACCTCTCTGGAAAACAGACTTCTAACTATTGTACATCGTATCATTTATGGCTTAAGATCCCAGGAAGGCATGTGACAATTTAAAACTTAAAATCTAATCAGTATACCAGCACCACAGGCCTAAGAGAATGTCTTAACTGCAGTGGAGCTGGGCTCAGGGTAATGGGAACGCTGAGTAGATAAGCCCATAGCCTCACCTGCTGTTGCCTTTTTAGCAAGACGATGCTGTGCACACCTGCATAGCAAGGTGACAGAGTGGCCTGGTGTTTGCCCTAGAGGTGAAGGCAGCACAAGAGCCACAAAGGGATGGCCTCCCTACAGCCTGGTAGCACCAGAAAAGGAAACCACTGGCCCCTCTGAGAAACTGAGCTGTTCTGTTCTAGGTAGATCTTTCAGTGGCCTGTGGGACCCTCACCGGCTAAGCTCGATAGTGAGTCACAGAGAAAAGCACACAGTGATCTAAATTCATTAATTCATGCCCACTCCCCAGGCTGGTTACCTCCGGGTTAGTGAAAAGAAGGACAAAACACTTTAAAGACAGCTAAAAACAATACAGGAAAGTGACGTGTCTTTCCTGCCTCCCCCAAAGGATGAATCTCCATGTCCTTTGGAAGCCTGAGTCCTGCTGGACTAGGAGCAGAGGGCCTGACTGAATGAGTGATCATAGACTTTACTTGTTGAAAACGTTTTAGGCCTTTTCATGCCTATTCATGTTAGGAATATTTGTTTGTATTTGTTGGAGGATTCTGGGAACTTTCAGCTAATTTTGTGGTCAAAAGTAAATGGAGAGAGTTGAAAGAAGGGTCCTTCTGTATGTCAGGCTGAAACGGGATTGTCACTGTTTTTTTTTTTTTTGTTTTGTTTTGTTTTGTTTTTTTTTTTTTTGTCCTTTTCCATCCTGTGATCCTTGCTGGCCTCATTTGCTTTGTGTGCCATATTGGGAGATGAGTCAGGAGGGCGGCAGATTTTAAGTGTGTCTGCATTGCTGTTGTGCCCCTAAAGTATAGTAAATGTCCTCTTTCTGTGGGCCTACCCTCTTAAATTGACTGCTGACCTTCCTTGCTGTCCCATCAAATTAATTTTCTACAGCTAACTAAAAGCACTTTCAAAATAAAATTCTTTTATTCATAATAACTTACAGTTATCAAACACAGCAACGTCTGGCACCACATTTTTGAGGTGTGTATGATAATAACTCTTAACCAAGAAGAGCAAGTTACCTAGTACACTTTCTCTTTTGCCTTTGGATCAAAACCTGAGGACAGCTCTGGTGTGATGCACTAGGGGGCGCTGTGTTCTAGCATCCGTCTTGAGACGGATGGTCTTTGGAGTCTGCGTATCCCTAGCAAACCTGCATGCCCGGCATACATAGCAGCCAGGAGGGGGCGCTGCTGAGCTGTCCTGTGCACATTCTCCTGCCCTATTCCAGGCGCTCAGCTTGGTTTTAAAAATGCTGTCCATCCTTAACTGTGCTTGGATGCCTAAGCTGAGTACAAGTGTCACTGTTCAGATCGCCCAAAGCCCTTTCAGTTGCCTGCAGAGCCTACATAGTCCTACCAGGAATGCAACACTTAGTCACTGAAAAAAAAAAAAAAATTCAGTCTGTAGAAACAGTCCAAAGTTAGGGGACACCAATGAGCAATACAATCATCAAATTCGACAGTGATGGATATACTTATTTAGTCAAAACTTAAATTCTTACGTACTAGTCTCACATAGATGTCGTGACTTGGTGGATGGTATATGTATGTGTATATGTATATGTGATTGTGAATTGGTGGATGGTGTGTGTGTGCGTGTGTGTGTGCGTGCGTGCGCGTGTGCTGACGGCTGTGCAGCATGGGTCCTTACATGCCTGTGAGCCATCAATAATTCTTCTGGCCACCCACACATGTGTGTGGCTGCCTCTGGGACACGCTGTTCATTCACAAGCAGAGCCCATGAGTCATGCCTAGCCGCACATGCCCAGCTACAGTGAGTGAAATGTGTGTGACTTCGCCGTCCCTCACCCTGAGCTAATTCTCGCTGCTCCCCCTGACCCTGAGATAACCCAGGCCATTATCTTCTCTCTTTCTTAACTATCACCTCTGTGTGCTTTTGGAAATTGTGTGGTTTTATTTGGTTTTGACCTTATAAAAAGAGGATCCCAATTCATGGGAATTTTTTTTTTTTACTTCAAGTTATGAAGAAAAGTATTTTTGCCTCTTACTACATCTTGCTCCATTTATTGTGACTGCTGTGTAATTTTTAGCTCTATAACTATGACCTGGCCTTTAAAGTCTGCCTCTGTTAAAGGGCATTTGGATTGTAGTGTGTTGTCATGAACCTTATTATGCATAGGAATACAAATGGAGTGATTTCTCCAGTAATAAAGGTCAATTAATTGTCTTTTCCTTCAACATCCCTACACGCAAGGATGGAGTCATTCTGCATTTTAAAGGGGCTTAAGCAAAATTCCACGAGGGAAGTTTCCAGGTGACTACTCCAGTTCAGTCATTTCTTATTGAGCAGCTTGAGGCCAGAATTTATCTGCTCCTTTGCACTTGTGTGGATTTGTTTCCTCCTGCTACTTCCTGTTAGCAACAGGAATAACGGCATTTAATATGTTGGGTAACTGTATACACAGAGGTGTATAGAAGTGAGTTTTGATGTTCACAATGGTGTTGCCGAGTGAGGCCGCCTGACTGAGCTCCTGAGACACTTCAGTTGAGGGTAGTTCTCTTTCTCATCCCAACACCCCCTGTTCGTATGCAGCCTCACTGGGACCTAGAATGTGCCTTTGTAGGGAGGGTGACACCACCCATGGCCTAGGAAACCTGTTACCCTTTCGGAGCAAGAGAGAGTGTGGCTAGAAAGACCAGCAAACCTTAGCCCAGGGAATGGCGGTTCCCTCCAGCCAGGCTGACCAAGGCAAGCAAGTCGCTGAGAACTCATCACCTTCGAATAAAAGAAGCCTGTGGTTTCATCAGCTCATGTTTATTCAACGCTTCGTGCCGAGCCTGGTGAGAACTCTTCATTCCGTGTCAGACAGCCCTCCAGGCTCTCGTCGTTTTCAGGCAGAGAAGCGGCTAAGTCAGAAATCTCAGAAATACAGTCTGGACTCATTGGAATTCATCTGTTTATTTCAGTCATTGGGAGTTAGAAATCTAAGACACGACAACACCCTGGTTCTCTGGGTGGCCGGAAGGGGAGAGCCCATGCCTCAGACCACTGAGGAGTGGGAATCAGAATTGGGGGTTTTGCACTGATCCGTGTTTCTGTTTGAAAATGTATTTCTTCAGGAGCAGGATGCACTCCGGTCTCTGAGGTGGCCCTGGGATTAGGAGCTCTGTCTCTGTCTTCGCTCACAGGTACATAGTGGGATCGCTGGAGTCACAGTTTTCAATGTGTACATGTGACTGTATGCCAGGGTAAACTTTCTGCAGGGGCAGAAGGGTGCCCAGTTTCTCCCCCTTTTTGATAGAACCTTTATACTTAGTTGGCTTAATGTAGAAAATTTTGACACAGAAACCTAAAAGAAAATGAAGATATTATTTGTACTTCCGTAGCCTTGAATCAGAAATTTAAAACACAGGGCTGGGGAAATAACTTAGGAAAGGGCATGCCTTGCAGTCGTGGGACCTGGGCTTTATTCCTATAACCATGAAAAACAGCAGGAACTGCGGTGTGTGCTTGTAATCTCTGCCCGGGCAGGTAGAAGCAGATGTACTCCTGATGACACACTCCCTGGCCAGCCTGCTTAACCTACTAACCAAGCATAGGACCAATGAGATACCTTGTTCTAAAAAGCAAGGTGGAGAGCACCTGAGGAATGACGCCTCTGACCTTTACACAAGCACACGCCCCTCCCCCCCCCCACATACACACATACACACACAAACACAGGCCTCTGTGTTGGGAGCCCAAAAAAGCCAAAAGAATCCAAAAGCTTTCCAGTCGCTCTAAAGAAGATGATGTCTGACAATATTTTGTCAAAAGCTCCCAGGATTCAAGGGCTTGGTACTGTACATGCCCTGCAACACAAAGACCAATGTATTGCCCTCAAGAAATAGCGCGCTAAGAAAAATAAGGAGTGGACTGCAGAAAATGCTAAGCTTATGGTGAAGAGAACAAAGCAAGCCAAAGAAAATGCCAGGAACAGATTGCCAAGAGCTGTAGACTGTCCTCCTGAGAGTTCTACAGCTGAGTCCCATCAAAGAGGAAAGTTAAATGCTCAGCTCTCAGGGGAGGGGGTAGAAGTGCACAAAACCCAGCAGGGAACAGAACTGAATAAATTCAGGAAGACAGAATCCCATTTTAAAAACAAGATTGCAGAGGGAGAATGTATTCAAATAAAAAGTTAGTAAAATATTGGAGAATAGTAGCAGAAAAGGTTAAATAGTAGAAAATTAACCCAGAATAATGTTATCTCCAAGACATAGTCTAGCAAAACTACTAGTCTTAAAAAAGAAAAGTTAAATTAATAATGCCAAAAAGTGATACTTTTCTAAATATTAAAAAAAATAACTTTAAAGGTGATTCCAAGTAGAAATATAATATAGCCAGGTGTGGTGGTGCCCATCTGTAATCCCAGCACTTGGGGAGGCAGAGGCGGGTGGATCTCTGTGAGTTCCAAAGCCAGCCTGGTTTACAAAGTGATTCCAGAACAGTTGGGGCTATACAGAGAAATCTTGTCTCAAAAAACAAAACAAACAAACAAAAAAACAAACAACAAAGGAAAAGAGAGAGAGAGTGTGCGTGTTTGTCAACGTTGGGATCAAATAAGAGTGGTCTATAAATGCCAGTGGGCATGTCTACTGAAATTTTTTTCCTGAAGGCACATTAAACAGAGGCTGGTTTTGTGCTGCATAAAACACCACACAGTACTTTAAAAGGCCAAAAATAAAGAGTTGGACAAAGCTTTGCCAAGGAAATGGAGGCCACTGAAAGCAAGGATTATCGTGTTGTTACCAAAGAACAGAACCCAGCTTCAAACACATTGAAAAAAGACACAGAACAGTAGTGAGCACTAACTGCCATTCGTGAGGAAGACATAGCCCTTACAATTGTCCATGCTCTGAAGAACACGGAAGGCATTAAAGCACACTGTGGAGGTGAAAGGGTAACTCGACAGAAACCCCCTAAAAAAGGAGGCTTTAATATACTACTCTCGGCACTAACAGTCGAAGTGAAGCTTAAGACGGGAAGTGAAGCTATGGAAATGCATGATTCAATATAGTAGCTGTAGCCACACAAGACAAGACAAGCAATTAACATGCATATAATTTGAATTTAGATTTGTTTCACAACCTACAAAACGTTTTAAGAAATCAGCATGAGTTGAAAACTGCTTCAGTAGTTTGTTTGTTTGATGGTTTTTTGAAACAAGCTCTCTCTGTGCAGCTATGGTGGACCTTCTAAATGCTAGAATTATGGCCCAGCTAGCAATTGCTGGGGAAGGGGGTCTTACTCTGGAGTCCAGGCTGACCTGGGACTCATAAGGTTCTCATGCCTCAGCCCCCAAGACTTCACTTCTGATATCGCAGACGTGAACTACCATTACCTACCTTTAGGAATTTAATCATAATTACATATTTAAAATAGTATTTTGGAGACATTGTGTCAAATAAAATATTAAAATGAGTTTATGTCTTGTTTTTCAATAAGGCTGCTAGAAATATGCAATTACTTGTTCAACTTGAATTGTGGTTTTGTTGAATAGCACTGCTATAAAAGGTCTAAGCAAACTCATACAGTATGTCTTAGATACTAAACAAATGATGACAAAATGCTTCTATACAAAAAGTAATAATAGGGAAAAACTGAGAAAATAGCTGGAGAGCTAAATAATCAGTGGACACGATGTATTCATTGAAGGACTGTTGGCTTAAAGACAACATACACACACACACACTCACACATGCACACTTGCAAACGTGGACACACACACGGTAAATATAATCAAAGCCCCAGTAGCATTTGTAGAAACTGTCATCTGGTTCTGCAGTTTGTTTGAAAAAAAAAATGTTAAAAGAAAAACAAACAAAAAACAAAACCAAAACTCAGTCCCTATCTCATGCTTTCCAGAAGCCCATTATAGATTGAATGTGGATCAAAACAGGAAGAACAGCTTGGTAAAGTCTGTCTTCAGAGTTGGCAGGCGTGTCTTAACAGGCCAAAGTGAGTTAAATTAGTCACTAAATTTGACCACATTCAAAATTACTGTGTTAAGAAGGGATCGATAAGGAAATGGTACCCTGCAACACAGCAGCATTTCCTGACGCTAAAATACACACTCGTTATGACACAGCACACTGGCCTGGTGTGCTGGCCACAGTGCAGTCTGGAACAAGGAAGTGGCCACAGGTAGGGAGGACACTCTGGGAATAAGGAAGGATGAATACATGATTCGGTGATCAGCTGACCCGGTACCCAGGTGCACTGATCAGCTGACCTAGTAACAAGTAACGCCCTACTTTGCCTGGAGGAGGGATTTCTTTTGCCTCACTGGTGATTTGACGGAGAATGGCCCCCAGATGTTCATTATTTGAAATGCTTGGTCCCCAGTGGGAACTGTCTGGGAAGGGTTAGGAAGTGTGGCTTTACTGGAGGAGGTGTGTCATTGAGGGTGGGCTTTTTGAAGTTTCAAAAGCCCATGCCATTCTGAGTTAGTGCTCTCTCTCTCTCTCTCTCTCTCTCTCTCTTTCTCTCTCTCTCTCTCTCTCTCTCTCTCTCTCTCTCTCTCTCTGTGTGTGTGTGTGTGTGTGTGTGTGTGTGTGTGTGACTGGCTTGGAGCCAGGCTGGCTGGTCAGCAACTCCCCAGGATCCTCTGCCTCGACCTTCCCAGTGTTGGGTTTTTGACATCTGGGATGCCACTCAGGATCTCACACTTGTGAGGCAAGCAGATTTCACAGAACAGGTTCTCTCCCTAGCCTGCTCTTGTAGTGAGCACAAATGTTTACTTCTGTGGTGTTGTGGTGAACCTTTGCTAGCCTTCTGACTGGAGTTGGAGCCACTAGAAGATGCTCAGTTGAAGGATTTCCAGAGATTTAACCAAGGGGGAAAGACCCATCCTAATACAAGTGGCACGGTAGGCTAGGAGCCCTGACTGAATAAAGGAGAAGGGAGGAGCCTGATGAGCACCCGAATTCATCTCTACTTCCTGACTGCAGATCCAATGCGAAGAGCCACTCTGTGCTCCCACTCACATCATGTGCTCCCACTGCTGTGCTTTTTCTGCCCTGATAGATTGTAGTTGTTGTTGTTGTTGTTGCAATAATGGGGAGGAAGTAAGGGGGAGAGGGTCCAGGACACAACTCGTCTCCAAGGCTTTGAGGGAACCCATGCCATTTCCTGGCTGCTTCCTGTTGCTTCAGCGGCAGCAGGAACTGGTGCCATTAAACTGTGTCTGAAGTGGTGATACTTCGTAGCCAAAGCCCGGGCCACCGTGGCCACTGTGGCCACTAAGAGGTTATTGAGTCGCAGCAGTAATCAGGTTCACCTGAACCTGAGAGAGCCTGCAATCCTGGAAAGGGATGGTGGGTGGCATCCTGAAGCCTTCCTGCCCCCCCCTTCCCTGTGCCTGCTCGAATGCACAAAAATAAATAATAAATAACTGCAAAAAATCGAAGGCAAAGAAGACCAGGGTGGCACCTAGGGAAGAGCACCCAAGGTTGTCCTGTGGCCTTCTTGTGACTCATGCACACACACACACACTCCTTAAGAGGAGCACAGAGGCATGTAGAGCTCAGGGAGAGAGCTAGTGTGTGTGCACACTGCTTCGGGCTCTGTCCTCCACGCCACAAACAGGCGCTGGAAAGTTCCCGGCAGCATTTTGCCAATCAGCAAAAGTGGAAGTTACTCCTGAGTCCATTTAAAGAAGGGGAGGCGAAAGCGGGATGGGTTTCCACAAAGGAATGAGCAGGAACCTTCAGGGATTTCACCCTCTGCTCACCAGCCCACTTCCGTTACCGGGAATGCCCTCTCTTCCTCAAGAAGATGCATTTACTCATTTCTAAACAGAACGAGCACGAACCTAAGAATACAACTGTGAGAGGAAATTCAAGAAGCTCAAGAAACGGCACAGACTGCTTAATTCCCCTCGTTCTTCCAAACAGGACCAATGCGTGTGCTGATGGTTAGTGACCTCCCTTGCTGACAGGAGTGGCGTAGTGCCAGCACGAGGGAGTCTGGGAGGCTGCTCACGCTCTGTCTTGTTGTCCAAATGCGTTTACCTTGTAAGGGCTCATGAGAGTCGACTCTTTGACGGTGCCCAGACCTGCTTACCGAACAGAGAGGCACTGGGGGGGGGGGGGGGAGTTCACAGTCAGTTGGTGCAGAAGTGCTAACTTTTGTGAGTTGTGGGATTCTGACCACTGAAGGTTTGTGTGTGTGTGTCGTGGCCATTGCTGTGGATGGCAGTTTTGTTCAGGCATCTTCTAGGCAAAGCCGCCTGGACAGCAGAAGGGAGGAGCCCGTACATAGGCGGGCTTGGGGCAAGCATCGGTCACCTTCTGGTTTTGGCTTGGCTGGTCCTGTAGGTTCTAGTTCTTACCATCATGAAGGAAACGTGGAATTGTGTGTATGGAACCATGTTAAATAAATAAACCTCTGCGCCTGGATCGTGTCCCGGACCTACCTACGCTCTTACCTCTTCCGGACAGTCGTACGCCATTGTTGATGGCGTTTTTGTTTCTGTAGGGTTTCTCCTGACCCATTAGGGTCCCAGTGAACGGCGCATACACCACAGAGCCATCGGAGCACAGGACATCCACACCTGGGTGATGCCTGTGGGTTCTAGAACAGAAACAAGAGCCATCAGACTGAGGAGCTGTGCCAGGGAAATTCACCTCCAGGATTATGTTCTTAGCGAACAACTCCCAGCCCTGGGCACCAACACTTGAAGCAGCCAGAAGATATTGCGATGCCTGGGATATTTTACCGTTTAGCCCAATTTTAACCTCTTGTCCACAAGTACCAGTGGTCATATTGCAAAGATTAAATAATTTAAGATCATATTTGAGTCACAGTAAGCCTTAAATAATATTATTACGCGGTATTTTGAAAAAAGATGTACAAATATATTTTCTGAATCTTGACCCCTTCAAGGCCTTTTAATTTTCCCCGTTGGGAACCAAAGCCAGGGTCTTGTGGGTACTAGGCAAGTGCTATACCACTGAGCAACACAACCCCTCTCGAAACCAATTAAAAAGAGTTTCTGTTTTAGGGAACCTACTGTTTCCTATTATGGGTTCCCCGAGTCTTTATTTGTTCCCACAGCAAAAGTACTTGCACACTTCAAGCTTGTCAAATCGCATGGAGTGCAAACAAAACCATTCCACATGGCCAGGCTCCTCTGTGACGGGCAGCTGTGGCTTCCCACCGCTCTCACTGCCCGTTCTTCCCAGGCTTTCTCATCCTTGTCTTTGTCGGGAGCACTGCGGGGGAGCCCCACTCTCAGGATGGAGGCCAGTGATTCAGTCAGGTGCGTGGCTGCTTTGTCTCCTGTGTGCTTGTTATCGGAATCTCGGGAGCATGACCCTCACCTGGAAGGGATCAAGAGGCTCTTGCCTGCTTAGGGTCAGCCTCTGATGTTCAAATTTTAGAACCTTGGTCAGTAATAACAGCATGGTGGATGCAAAAAGAATCCGGAAGGCTGAATTCAAATGCAGCCTTTACCAACTCTGCTGGTGGATAAACAAAAGTTCCTTCTCTATCAAGTGCAATAACGTAGCTTTGCTTTTCATCCCTGGAAAGCCAGATGAGGTGAGACCAAGTGTGGAGGATTTGAGAAGGAAAAAAAAAAATAACAACCCAAAACCAAAACATTGTTTTGATTCCTTTCCCTTTCACCTGTCTCCCATTCTGTCTCCAGTACAGACCACATCTGTGAAGCAGGAAGTTGCTCCAAATACAGTCATTGTTGCAGAGACCGCTGGGTTCTAGTCTGCCAGAGGGAGGTCATGGTGAGCCCTCTAGGAAACGTAGGACTCAGACCATAGGACTCAGACCATACAGAAAGAGGAGAGGAACCAACAAGGGCAGCTGTTTGTGACGCCTCATACCTTTGAGCAGAGTACCGACCACAGCCATAGCTGTCACACGTCCGGATCTGGTTGGAAGATCTGCTGGCACATATGTTAACCCATGGTCCTGCCAGGGCTGCAGAGGAGAAACGTGAGAGCCGTGACCCCTCCAGCCTGTGTCTCACTTGTATGTCTCACCAGGACACTAGGGCCTACCCCCCTTCTTCTGGGAGTTTATAGGTAAGCTTTTCCTAAGGGTAACTAATTCAGATATGAAATGTAGTCCCCTGGCTATATGCTTCTGTGCTGTGGCATGTAAAATACTTAGAAGCACTAAGCGCCATTATCTCACTGTTGGAAATGTTCATGAGTAAGTGGTATAAATTGTGCTTTTCAATTTTCCTTTGCTTGTGACCAGACCTGGGAACCGCTATGGTTAAGCAAAAGTAAACAGCACAGCTAAAAACAACAACAACAACAACAACAAAACCTTTAGGAGCTGTACAGTGATGTTGGAATGTTGTTTTATAATCGGGTCTAACGAGGCATCCCAGCAAATGTTTGAGGCATACTCTGGACTCTCCAACTTTATGAAGCATAAACTAAATCTCATCTTTATAGACGTGGAAGGGGGTATTTGAGAAGCGATTTAAAGTGACCAGCCACAGTTAGCCTCAGGTGAGATCAGGCAGAGGCTGGGAAGGGAGCGGAGATGATTGCATGAAGGTTCTGGATAGTAAACACAGTGAGAGGTGGCTGTCTCTCTTGGTGTATTTTGTGCAAAATATAAGTGCAGCTTTCCCCTTTAATGGTATAAGTAATACCAATTGAATTGAATTCCCTGGTTCTCAATATTAATAATCACAGAGGTACAGTTAGCAATTTTGGCCTCTCACTTTGACGCCAAAGCAAGAACCTGCTAATTTGGTGATTGGTTTTATTAAGGGACATTTTACTCTTCACTAATATTCATGCTGTGAAGAAAAGCTATAGAATCTGGCCATTAAGTATATTCATTACTGGAGCTTCAAATGTGAGTCTCAAACGCCTTCTACCATGCCTTCAAGCTTCCAGTCAATGCTCTGACCAGGCTATAGGAACATGGAGCCAGCATTTATCCCGGGCAACTGAGGCAGCTAGTGGCCAGCTTATTAATCTGTTTTTCTTGCTTGCTGTGAGCATCACGGGGACTTTCCCTTTGGCTCCAGCCTTTGCGCCAGAAATTTCCCACATCTAATTCTTACTTGAGACTTTCATCTTCTAGGTTTTTTTGGGGGGTGGGGAGTGGGAAGGGTTACTAAATAAGTTCCAGGCCAGGACTGGAAGGCTTGTCTGACAGTCTTTCTGTACCGAGTTTACATTCTGCTCCCTGAAGAATCAGAGCACCAGGAAGAGATGATGGAGGAAAACCTCCTGCTCTACCAGCTCCACCATTCCCACCTATTCAAACTTTAATTATCAATATCAAAGTTTATGCCACCATTCTGCTATCATTGGTTTTTAGGTCAACCCCCCGTAATCAGGAGTAAATCGTGTATATCGTGTTTAAATTAGCCAGGATTCTAACGTGTGCTTTTGACTTACCGGTGGAAATCAAGGCAGCTGAAATGAGGACTGCTGTGGAAAACATCTGGCGTTTGCTTCCTCTCTCTTCCTCTAATTAGAATTGCTCCCTGCACACCCTATTCACGTCGGAGTTAATTCTCTCTGGTAATTCAGCTTTAGAGTCCTGTGCCTCTCCTGGATTTCGTATGAGGCACGGAAAACAAAGTGAGTCAGGTTAAACTGTAACGCTCTGTGGAGGGCCGTCTGATCGCAGAGACCTCTGCAGAAGCCTTTGATCTGGAGAAGCGGCCAGTGTTATCGGGATCAGTGACTAAACATTAACAGGGATGATCAAGCTGGATGCAGAGGGTTGTCATTTTATTGGGGCTGGAGGGAGCGTGTTGTGTGGGTGATGGTGACGTTATTGCTGTCTGCCGGAGCCCTTTCTTTCTGTGGATAACGCGTGCTTCGGTAAATAACTGACTAGCAGTAAAAGCGGACTTTCTGAAGTATCAGCATATGTCTTAGGCATGGTGGATTTTTTTTTAATTGTCTGATTAGATTTCATCTACATAAGATTTATAGATAATTTTAACAGTTTGATAAGTTATGTTTATTTCTTTTGAGCATGTGATTTTTAAATGCTTGTAATAGTGGAAATTAACACCTAAAGAATGCATCAGCAGGGGAAATTATATTTGAACTATGATAAGGGTCATTCAATGGGATATAAGAGCTTAAACGAAGACCATGTATATCAATAAAGTTATATTCTATTCAATATACCATTGAATGAAAAAGCACTTCTAGAATTATGTAATATATATATATATATATATATATATATATATATATATCACCTCATTTCTTTAAATCTTCTAAACAAAAGGTGTTGCCCTTCACAAATACTGCATCTATAATAATGGTGCAAAAACATGCAGCACAGGCAGGAGAGGGAGAGAACTGTGAGCTATGCATACATAGCCCACTTAAGCTCTTAAACATTTTGTTTCTGAAACACTGTCAATTACTGGTGGCACAGACGCACAATTCTCTAATTCTCTGTACATTTTATTTGTACTTACATTTTCTGAATTGGAATTTTCCTATATAAACTACCAGCTCCCCACTATCCCTAGCACGCCAGGACTGGACTTTCCTGTGAGGCCTCCCCCTTTGCATAGCTAGTGAGCAGCTGTCGGAAACTCCTGCTGTAACACTTCTCCATCCGCAGCTACACCCTGTCCTGTCTCTTCCTGGAGACTTCCCTGGCCCTTGGTCCTGGCTCAGCTCTGCGGTTTTGACCAAGTGAGTCAGAGGTGACAGTGTGTCCCCGCGTCCTGGCCTTTGTCTTTGCACTCTCCTTCCCGTGTTCTGCCTGTGCTGTGAGGGCCGCATTCCCAGGCTAATCCGCTGTCCCGAGGAACGAATGAAAAGTCGCAGAGAACAGAGCCTCACTGTGGAACTCAGCCTGGAACACCCCACGGGCGCCGCTGGGTGCTGCTTGAAGCCTCGGAGACTGCAGCCGTCACAGCACTGTGCGCACAGGGTTGCACAGCAGGACACACAGCCCTTCGAGGAGTGTGGTGTGAGAGTACCAGTGGAGTCTGAGTGACGAAAAGAATAGAGCACTGGGGAGAAGCGGAATTCAGAGGCAGATGCACACAGTACGCAGTGCACCGGAGACACACCATGGCTGACCATCAGGGAAAAGATGCAGCAGCCTGGAGACAACATCTGGAAGGAAAAGAACGCCTGAGCTGTACATCAGCCTGGACAGTGTTTCCACACGAAAGTGGAAGAAAGAGGAAGAAAGAGGAATTATAAATCATGATATATTCAAATAGTATTTTTCACAGTTTTGGAATGGATTGGGCCTTTGAGTGTCCAAAACCCTCGAGACTGAAGAAACCCTTTGCTGATGGGTTGTTGCAGCAATAAAGAATATTTTGATGAGTCAAACCCAATAGTCTACCGAACATCCTTGCAACATAGGGAAAATGAATGATTGCATATATATCTGTATATGTATGTATATACACATGTGTGTATATATATAGCACATGTATAGGTATATATATACTCTTTACACACACACACACACACACACACACACACACACACACACACACACACTCCATTTTCCCATGTCCTGACAATTCTTTTTTTCTGTATAAAATAAAGTATTTGCTTTTTAAAGCGTTTGTTAAATTTGTTCTTTGGCAATTCTAAGCATGTAGGTAGCACATTCTGATTGCTGTCACCTCCACATATTGTGAGTTCTCATGGGTAGTGCCATTTAAGCAAACCAATGCGGAGATGAGCAGAAGGTATCAACAGACTTCCACAACAGAACAAATACAGGTCTCTGATAAGCGGCGGGCATGTGCTGTATTTCTCTTACCAATGGTTATAGAAACAGGAGAAAAGTTTCCCCTGTCGTGTAAGTGGAAACCATCATACTTACTGAAAATAAAAGACATTTTAACCTTTTTAGAGGACAATTTAGCAATGCCTCTCACATTTTCAAATGCCCAAGACCTTTGTCCCAGCAATTTTATTGCCTTTTCTGCTTGTAGCTTTCTTTCATTTTCCTGCCTTCCTTATTGGGTTCTTCCAACCCACCTTTGTCTCCGAGATACCAGCAGCTCTCCAAACTGAGGAAGAGATAGTAGAATTGAAACCCTTGATGAAAGAGGGTCCAGGCAAGAGCGAGCACTGGGGAAAGCTGTTGGGGAATGGAACTGGGCTGGGCAGGCTCACAGTCGCAGTGTTGGCACTGCAAAAAGAAGCGGACACAAGGAAACACTGCACCTCCTGGTAATGATACCTGTGAGCTCAGACCCAGCGAAGGACTTGGCTCTCCTGCCTAATTGAAGGATCCGTAGGCCTGGGTCAGCCAAATGCCGACTGCGGGAAGCTGTCCCCATGAAGAACATCAGAGCCCGGGGCAGTGAGGGCACTGGGTGGGTCTTATTCAGAGATTAAACAAAAGAGAGATAGGCAAGGGTATCACCACTGCCCGTTTTAGTACCATTGGATCACACTGGGATTTCTTGCTTATGTAAAAAGAACAAGGATTCTGTAGTCTTTTTCTTTCAGACTATACAGGAAACACGAATGAACCTCAAAACAAAAGGTGCCTCTGATGGTGATTTCAAAATACGCATGGGCCTGAAGAGTGGGTGTGTGTCTTAAACGTGACGTCACCAAATGATGGTTATTGAGGACAGGTGATGGCTTGTAAGGTTTTACTACACTGACAGCGTGTTCTCTGTTACTTTACCGTTAGGTCCACATTTGACCTGGTCAAACACCCCAGGCTTCCTGAGTTCACTCAGAAGAACCTGCCTGAGACAGTTAGCTCACAGGCTTCTCACCACGTGTATTCAGGAATCTCAAACAAGGCCAGACCTCCTCTATTGAAGTATGACTATCGCAGTCATTGTCAGAAAGGAGGTACAAGATGGACGTGTTTTAGGGACTGGGAGCCTTGTTGTACCGATGAGGCCCTATGCTTTCCCCAAGATACCTCCCCCCCCCAACGGAATGGAAACAAGTGTTAAGTGTTAAAGATGTCTTGTGGCTGCTCTGGGTGGCCAGACAGCCTTCCATGTTCATTATTTCTCCTGCTCCGTTACGTCTCTCTACTAAGCTATTAGCCAGGTCAAAGTCTCTCTTCTTGATATTTAAGAAGTAGCTATATTAAATGTCTTTATTATGTAAGCATTGCATCTTTATAGCAAAACTGAACCCCAAATTCAAGTCAATATAAAATAAATATCCGTTAACATTTAGGCACATATATTTCCTTTCTCCCCTCTTCTTGCCTCTTTTGTCTGGAATATCAGCATTTCAATATATGCATGCTACCTTTAGCTTTAGAGTGTTTGTGGATGTCTCCATTGGGACTGGGCTACGTAACTCGCTCTGCATTTTGATTGGTTGTGTGGTTCTGTAGTGGTCTCTGCGTGTTCCAAAGAGAAGTTTCCTTGAGCAGGGGTGAAGATCACACTTATCTCTGGGTAAAAGGGCAAATGTTTATAGATTGTTGTTAGAGATTGTGCTGGTTTAATAAATTAGTGGTTGTAGATTCTCCTTCAGTAACCACGACTTTATTAGAGCTGAGTAGTTAGCTAGATTTCCGGTCCCAGGCACGGTTTCCCTCTTGTTGAGTGAGTCTTAAGTTAGAGTCTTAACATTGGAGAGCAATTGGTTACAGCCAGTTATGTATGCCACTACTGCATGCATAGGGTTAGTGTGCCATGCTGGTCGTTGATGAGATTCGAGGGCATCACAGCTGGGGAGGACAGCTGGTTGCCTCCCTTCTTTGGGAGCGTGTATCAACCATGGAAGCAAGTCCTCAGGGAAGGGTCATCCAGGTGGGGAGCCTCTGGGTCCTGTTTCTGAAATGCATGGTGTCTTCAGCAACAGGGGCTTACATTCCACCTCTAGGGTGCTAAGTGAAGGCAAAAGCAATAAGCCATATGTTTAGGGAGTCTCTTGAACAACAAGTCAAAAGAGGGTTTCTAATGTCTGGTTTGGGGTTTTTGTTAGGTGGTCTTTGTCTCTAGCAGAGGGAGCTATCAGCACAGGTGAGAGAAGTTTATTAAATATGTACATAGATTCACACACTGACTCATGAGTGTTGTGGTTTTTAAGGTAAATACTTAGTAGCATCCTTTCTTGTGGCTTTTCCAGCTATCCATTATTATTTCACACCCCCTTCCTCATTCTCCTAAATTTACCTTCTTCCCTCTTCCCCAAGGAGCCCTCCCCTCCCATTTTCCTGTCAGGTCACTTGTATTTTGCTATTTCCCTTTTTCTTCCTCTCACCTTCTTCTGTATTTACCTCCCTCCCCCTCTGTAAAGAGCTCCCATTTCCCTGACGAGATGATTCGTATCCTGCTATCTCCCCTCTCTATTGCTCCCCAAGCCCTCCATCCTGGCAGTGCTCCTGCTCTGCTTTCCTCATGCCTGTAGTTACTACAGGCTCCGTTTTAAGATTTGGAGCTCGGAGCCTCCAATAAAAGAGACCAGGCGATCCTTGTCTTCTAAGTCTGCAAAACCCCCTTTTCTTTATCTGTGTCTCGGAGGCTAGATGTGTGGGCTGGTCAGCAGTTTCATATTGGTACCTTTGATCTTTTATTTGACCTGGAGTTTGAAAGCCCATTTGTAAGAAGGATGGGGAAAGGACGATTGACCTTAGTGACCAAACACCCCAGGGTTCCTGCTAGTGCCCTCCTCCAGAGTTCACTCAGAAGAACTTGCCTGAAGCTGTTAGCT